TTCCTCTACAATTATCTTTAAAAAGCTGTCTGTAGTGCCAAAGTGACCGCAGTCAAAGAGAGTGAATGCTGAAAGTAAATGAGCATTTAAAATGTTGGAATAACTTTCTTCATGATTGCACACAAACATGAGTACACCACTTAACTTGTGCTAATTTCATTAACCTATCAAAGTCAGAACAAGCAAGTACTCTTCGATATCAGAGAGTTGTTGAATGAACTGAGAAAGTCTGTATCATCTTATAGAAAAGATTTCTTAAAGTAAATCAAAAAGTTTAAAAAAAATGGACATAGAGCATACAACTCCTGATTGATACAAACACTTTGATCTTTGAATGGTTGAAAAAAAACTACATTGAAATAGTTTGTGCTTTAAAGAAAGGGAGTAACCCTTTTTGTGGTAAATTTCAGATGCTAGAGTTTTTGTTGTGGTTTCAATCAAACCCAACCCTGAAACCAAACACAACCTTCACATTTGACAAGAAAAATAACTCATTTGAAGCTTTAAATACTTTAACAAACAGGTAAAGATCTGTTGCTTCACCACATCAAACTGCTTCATTTCTTTGTCTCAAAGTTGTTCTAATTATAAACTCAAAGTACTTATCTTAATCATAACTGTTCTAAACTCATCTCTGCACAAATGATCCTGAGATATTTAAAAAAACATTTATTAATAGTTGAAAATGTCATTTGACCTCATGAAATCTAGCTCGTATGTTAACATCAGAAGCAAAAAAAAAAAACAAAAAAAAAAACACTTGAGGATTAAAAAAGGCTAAAAATTTAAAACCTACTTTCCCAGTCCAAGATATAGGACACAATCTGGACCTTAGGAAAACTGGGCCATCACAAGCCAAACTATAAATGTCTCAAGTTTTTTTTTTTTTTTTGGGCGAGACGTACGTTTTATTACCTCTTTATATGGGGTATAAAAGCACAAGTGGGCAGCCACTTTTATTCTTACTGTATAAACATGGAGAGAGGCCTAAAATAAAACTGGGACAGCAGGTGACCAGACAGGCAGAGCAAGAATTCAGCACGAGCTGTGCAGCCTGTTGATGCATCGTGCCTTATTTCAACCAAAGTCTTATTTTTGTGAGAAAATTTCGTTATGAATTAAAAAAAAAGGTATTTAAAAAAATTGTATGGGCCGTACCTGTTGCACAAGTGAAATTAAATGCATAAAAGATAAAAATTGGTGCAAAGGATGACTCTCAGCTGCTACAAATTTTAGCTCAATATCTGCAAAACTGACTATTTTTGTGTTGGTTAATATCTGTTAGCTGTGGTGGCCATCTTGAACTGCAGTGACTCCAACAGATGAATAAATGTGAACACTGAAGAATTCCTCTTCAATATTTTGTGCAGAACTCTTATTCATTTTTTTTTTTTGTATTCAAATGGGCTTTTTAAGCAACAACAGCAGCAACGCTCTCACAGAATCTTTTTCACGGGTTAAAACGGGTCACAGAGGCTTGAAAACGGGGAAGTCCAGCTGCATTGTCACTTCACAGAAACTCTTTCACCATCGCCTGTGTTTCAGCACCCAGTTGAAAATGGCCCTTTGTGATCAGAGTAATGTATTTATCTCGCTGCGAAAATACGAATGCCCTTGATAAATTGGCCTGCATGAATCATCTCGCCACACAGAGCCAAGAAACAACACAATAAAGCCTTCAGAGCCTCGGCTGATCCCCGCGCTTTTCGACTGAGAGCTCCTGCAGCTGCGCGGGCCTCTTATCGAGACGTGCAGGTGGCTTCTTCCTCTGCTATTTACTCACATCACGCAGGCGTTTCACCACGGGGGAGAGAGAAAAAGAGAAGTAAAACTTGTGGGCTGAAATTATTGTTAGTGGTGAGAACTTTAGTAATACACAACATTAAAGGCACAGTGTGTAGGATTTTGTCAATTCTTTTAGCCGAAATTGAGATAATCACTAATGACAATAATAAAAAACATGTCTAATCATTGCAGACAAAGACCTTGTTTTATTATTTTTACCTTATAAAAAGCTGTTTATATCTCCATGGTCAAGGGTCGCCAGTACAGGCAGCCGCCATCTTGTCTACGAAGGCTCATGAAGGACAAACTGCGGTGGCGGCGTCAAAAACGGTTTTAGTTGTAATACTATAAACGTAATATTTGTTGTCTGTCAAATAGCTACGTTTACATGGACAAAAGCAATCGGATTAAACGGCCGTTCGGAATAAAAATGCGTCATGTAAACAGCCCGTTCCGATTATTCTGATCTGATTGAGCTCGATCCGAATGAAAAGGGTGGGTTATGCTGATTGATAATCGGAATGAGGTTCATGTAAAAACTTAATCGGATCATCTTATTCTGATTGTAGAAAACTGACCTGTGTGTGCATGTCTGCTGACTTTCATTCACCCAGTTAGAGGAGGTGGGACAGCAGCGCTCCAGCTGCGCTGCACCGTGCAGAACTTTTCCTCCATGCTCTCTTAACAGATGAAAAAGGAGGCAAACAGCAGATGTTGCTTCGCAAAAAATAAAAATAAAAAGCACGTATTGCTTCATCTGCAGCTCAACCGAGGAGATGAGTAACGATGTCTCTACCATTTTTAAAAGCTGACAAGGGTCCGTCCTGAGCGCACAGAGGAGCTTTGTTTACGTTTGTAACACGGAAGTAGAGCTGAACGTTTACAACACTGTGCATGCCTGGACTTTTATTCTGACTAAAACTCCGGTGCATGTAAACACTTTTCATGATCGGATGGAGTCCATGTAAACTGTACATTCAGATTATTTAATCTGAATATATTTCAATCCAATAAAAAAATTGTGCATGTAAACATAGCTGGGATAATTTTACTTATTAAAGCTCATAATCTTACCACTTGAAACATCACTAGCCCTGAAGCTGCTGGTAGACATCGTGGTTGGAATTATCAAAGGTTTTTGACACCTGAGAGACACCGTAGCGTTTGGAAGTGGGGGGCTGGGGGTGGGGGGAGGACCAGGGAGGATGATTCAACCACTCAACCACTAGATGTCGCTGAAAACAACAAATCCTACACACTGTGCCTTTAATGTAGAATTTGTTTTAACAAGTAGCATTAAAAAGCTAAAGAAACTGAGAAAAAAATGGAGAAAATCTTATAAAATTCAGTTGCGGTATCAATAAACTCAGTGTTTACAACCAAGTGACCACTGGGCCAACACGGCTGCCTTTTTAGCAGCCAATTTTTGTAAATCTTGGCTTATTATTGTGTGCATGTTTTACAAAACTGTTTCCGGGGAGTGCACATCATTTTCCTCCTCGCTTCCACCCACATCACACCCACCTCTGCTCACCTTGTACTGAACTTGACAGCTGCTTCTACATTTAGTTTACCGGGGTACATTTTTGTGCAGGTGTCCAAACACAGCTCCAGTGCTCTTGAGACGAGTTGGAGAGTTCCGCAAGAAAACGGAGACGGGACCGAAATGCCCACAAGGACTATGTTTATCTGTCAAATTTATTGAACAATTTCAAAATCAAGCGATAAGACTGCACGACACTTTGGAGACTCCCCCCGTTAAAGCGGTTCTCGTAGCCCAGTGGTACCTTAAAGTGCCTGTGACGTCATAATTTTTGTAATAATACAAATGCCATTTTGGAAAGATAACACTGAGAACATATTACAAAATAAATTTCATGCTGCTGAGATGAACAGTTGTCGAGATATTTGCATGTGAAGTAACAGGAAGTGATGTCAAAGGGGAATGTCAGCATGTAAACAGAGATATGCTAAAATGCTCAACAGCCCAGACTGTGGGGAGGAATCTGATGCTTCATTAGATTATTTTGAGTCGCTATCAGACAGAAACAAAAGAGTTCAGATAATAACGTTTCAATAAACAAAGACCAGTTCTTTTTTTTAAAGGAGTTCCCCTTTGATATCACTTCCTGTTTCCCTTTTGCTGAGCCAAGTTCAAAAGAAAATAGGCCAGTTATGTATACAAATGGGTAATGCCAAGTTTCCTAAACAAAACTATATTTTCTTTAACTTTTTGTATTTTAAGGAGAAGCATGTCACAAGCTGTGTTTCCACTGACCATGAAAGTGCGCAAAATAGAATTTGGAAAAAAAATTGGCTCAATGGAAACACGTCAATTTCGAAAAAAAATTACGTTTTTCGACAAAATGTTTGGTGCTAGGAAGAGGTGGTTTTTCGGCTGTATCGAAATTGGTGTTTTTCACAAAACTGCAATGGAAACACTTTTTTCGTATCACAGGAGTCACGTGATCAACAACCAGCTGTTTCTACTGGCGAAAAAGACAATGACAAAGACGAAAACAGGAAGTAAAAGTAGTAGTAATATCACAAAAGTAGTAAAAAGTAGTAAACTCACCGACTACAATTTCTCAAAAACACAGCATACGTAGCTGCTCCTAATTAGGGCCTTGTTGCTGGAAAGACTCGATAAAAGACGCCGATGCCTCCTTTGATGATGAGCGCTAGTGTCGCAGTAGCAGTATGCTATGTGTTTATATCCATTGCCGCCATGTTTGTGATGACTTATCGCGAGAACAAACGTATTCACGCGTGACTTTAATAGCATTTCTTACTTAATGGAAACATCAGAGTTGCAAAACTGTTTTTCGACATTAGCAGAATATCGACAAAGTTTTGCGCACATTTGTAATGGAAACACAGCTACAAGCACTTTAAATAGTTTACATCGATTGATTGAGAGTTTCATTAAAATCCACCTGGTGGTTCAGGATATATTTGCTAGCAAATAAAACACACAATTAAACGATGAACCATTTTTCATGATGGCAGGTGATAAAGTTGAAAGAAAACGTCATCTTAAAACACCATAAATGACAAAAAAGAAGCTGTGACGTATTTGTGAATGGCCTTGAAAAATGTCAAACACAGTAAGTGTCAACACTTGGTTTGACAAACACCTGCGGTAAAATAATAAAATTGAGCCAATGACCAGGTAGGAGCTGCTTTTATAGTCCGAGCAGGACTTGTTGACCAACCTGTCTGGCTAGACGGCGGGCCTCCCAGTAGGGCTTCGATTCCTCCACAGGTTTGCCGATCTTCTTCACCAGCTCGTCCAGCTTCACCGTGGCCTCCACCAGAACGGAGCGGAACTTCTGCCTTGCATCCTGAGCAAAAAAAAAAAAAAAAAAAGAAAAAGACTTAGTGATTGAAGTCTAAATGAATTAGGCTGGCTAATAAAATCTGATCTGCTTTCTGGTTGTCAAAGCAAGGAGACCAGCTTTCAATCGTGAGGTCAGAAGGACTTCATGACCTCTGAACACGTGGATCAACTGGAATCCTCATGACCTTCGATAAGAAGCCTTCCAACTTTGAGTGTTTGACATCTGAGCATGTGGATCAATTTTCTTAAAACGCCTCTCACTCCTTTACATTCTGTGACAAATAAAACGAATTAACCTAAAATTAGGTTCAAAGCAGCAGAAGCTCCGCTCCTGTACACGTTACGCTTTTATTCTCAAACTCATTTAATTTGAAGTGAAACGGGGGCTAGAACAGGTTAAAGTGCTGACTTCACATCGAAAAATAATCAGGGTGGTGTCCGTTTTTAACCTTGGGCGTTTGCATAAAAAAAGGAACTCAATTTCCAAAAACTGTGTCAGATGTGGAGCAGTACACCCATAAACTAAAATGACCAGTCAGCACTTCAGCCTCTGAGTCATTCCAACCAAACGTGCTGAATTAGAGACGTGACAAGAGATTACACCGTAAGAAAGACGTGAAACGACACAAGTAATAAAAATAACAATATTACAAACGGAAATTTAAATATAAGCTCATACGAGGGCTTTGTTGTTCATCAAACTCACTGAAAATAAAAATGTCGACCAAAGGATTTTCATTTTCAGGAGTTTGAGCTAAACTAAAGAAGCTGGTGGGAAAGTAATTTCGTTTTATGGGGGCTGGGGGTGTGCTGGATGTACAACAAGACAAAACAATATCATTAAAGCACAAAATGGAACACAATAAGCATCTTAATCTTGTTTTTATATCTGTTGGAAGCCAATACTTTATATTAAAAACACATTTAGGTAAGTGTAGACATCTTTGTTGGCTCTCCTCTGCAACAAACAGTTTTTTTTTTGATTGAAGCAGACTGCAGTGCAGAGTCTGTCCTCCCACTCAGAGCTGAAAAACTGTAACAAACTTCAGCTTCTAAACATTTCAAGCTCCAGGTATTATCCTCAGAACTTTAATGGTATTTATATGACTGCCTTCGAACTACTTTCTTCACATCAGTGACAATCAAACGCAGGTAAGTGATGCCGCTCGTCACCAAAGGGGGATAATGTTTTAGCGTGCGTCTGTCAAACTAAATACTGAAAAAAAAAGATGAAGCTAATTCTCAACGCAAGGTATGTTTTTCAAACTTTGCCACTGATTTTATTTTTAGAGTCCACATCTACAGCTGAGGATATAGGAGCTATAGTTCAAGATGGCTGCAGAGGTTAAATGACCAACACACACAAAAAAGGTTATAGCACAGTAGGGTTGGGAAATATTGCCAAAAAAAATTAATCATGATTAATTGTGGRATTTAGCCGATAACGATTAATTTGATGATTAATGCCCTGGAGTCCCTGGATGCCTGCATGTCCAAGTCACATGTGGGAAAGATTTGCTCTTTGTAAAAATCTGTTCCAAACTGTGTCAAAATTACAGACTTCAGGCTTTACAACAAGTTTTAAATTGTGTTGATAGATAAATAAACTACAGAACTTTATTTTTTTTAATGTTCGTCATATTTGAAGCGGAGAGGAGCACCGAACGGACTGACTGGTGGCATTAAAGTGCCTGTGACAGGCATGTTCTTCAAATGCAAAAAGTCAAAGAAAACATCTTTATATTTAAGTAAGTTGGAACAATACACACAATTTTACCCATTTTGTCCCATAACTGGCATATTTTCTTTTGAACTTGGCTCAACCGAAGTGAAACAGGAAGTGACATCAAAGGGGAACTATTCAACAAAGAAAACTCTCTGGTCTTTGTTTATTGGAACAATATTATTTGAACTTCGACTCTTCTTCATCTCTCTGATAGTGACGCACAATAATTTTAAGAAACATCAGATTCTTCTCTGCAGTCTGGGTTGTTGGCTGTTGTAGCAACTAGCAGTCGACCGATACAGCGGCTGGCCAATATTTTTGGCCGATGTTTGCGTTTTTTCCTTGTATCGGTATCGGCCGATACACTGTCCGTTCGGCCGATCCGTTCTTTGGGTCACGCGAGCGCATGTGTCCGCCCCTTACCCCGGGGCGAGCGCAGCAGCTAATGTTGTGAGACAGAGTGCTAACAACAACAAGGGTGAGTTATGAACTATAAATGTGTTTTAACTGTCTAATTTAGCCGTTTCTACCCTCTGTGTTAGAATATGAGGGAAGAGAGAACAGCTGTGTTTAAGTTTCTTTTCCAGACGGAAGCGCTGCGACATGTTTTACTTTCACTTTCGCACCGCACTGTAATCAGCGTGTCCGCGTTGTTTTTCTTTTTAAAAATGCTGGAGCTGCTCACATGAGGCATAGAAAAACACCTCTATTGTTCTCCCTGCTGGATTAAAATTTAAAAAAGCTTTTGGTCTTTTCTCGCTGAACGTTTTAGCGAGCGCAGCCGTCCACCATCACGTGAACCAGACACTGCTCACATCACGTTTGCTGTGACCGCAGTGGTGATGCTGGTTCTCTTCTGTGTACGTTTCAAACTGTGATCTAAAGTTAACATCAGCTGTTTTAAATGCATTTTTTTTGCCTGGTGTTAAAAACTGGAGCAGCAGAATGAGGCAGAGATGCTGTGAGCACTGTGTGTGTGAAGTCCTCACAAAGATAGCAAGATGTATGTGTGTCTCTTCTTTGTCTCTGTGTTGCTCCGACAGTTTTATTCAGGCTTGTTGCTGTTTTTGTATCAAAAATGCTGGGATATTAAAACATTGTCATTTTATGTAAAAAAATATATTATTCTTACTAATATACAAATAAGAACAGAATATTTAGCACTAGATAAAATAAATAATGAAATTATTTATTTTTAATTTTTTTAAAGAAGAAATCCTGTGTGGTAGTGTGTGTGTGTGTGTTCCTCCGACAGTTTTATTCAGGCTTGTTGCTGTTTTTGTAT